TGCTAAAATTAACATTGGCCTACTGCTTGTACTAATAAAGTGCCAAGGGCCTAAGTAGTCACCTTAATATTTAAAAATATATATATATATATATATTAGATACTATGAATATATAAACATTATAACTAACTAAAAATAGTTTATATATATTAGTGTTTGGGTAAAATTCTTTGTTATTAAAAGAAATTAAAAAATAACACATTAATTCTGAAGATGATTTATCTAAAAATTGGTTCAAACCTCTTGAATTCAAGATAATTTTGATTGACAAGAAATCATGGAGTTACTTTTAGAAGCTGCAGCTTTAAATATAGAGATAAAAATTTTTTATACAATAATTTTATTTTATTTATTTATTTATTATTTTTATTTATTATATTAATACCAACTCTTTTTGATGATCACTTATACCAAAATTTCTTGCCAAAAAAAAATATAACTTTTGTTGAAAAGTGTGGTTTATATAGTGATTTGTTTAGAAGTTAATGTTTACTTTTGCAGAACTCTTTTAAAAGACATTTAGCATATAAACTAAAGCATTATTATACAAAATAACTGGCAAGTGGTGCTTTTGTATAAAAAAAATCTTGGTGAAGAAACAAAGTCTTTTTTTGTCAATAAAGCTTACTAGGTTGTTAACAAAACACAGAGCAAATAACAATAGTTGTGAACTTTAATATACTCTTTTGAAATTTTGAATATACCTAATTTCGAAAACCACTTTTCATATTCCTACTAGGCTTTTTGTTATTTCTCTTAAAATTTTTTCCAAAATGTGAGAAATTCAGCATACCTTTTATGAAAAATTAGTATTGTTTATATAGCCAAATTAGAAATAGCGTATTATAAGAAAGTCACGCTACTACACATAATCAACAATGATGACATGTAATGTAACAAATTGTAGGGTAAATAAAAAAAATTTTGTATTCTTTATATTATCAAACTATTTTAATATAGAGGTAAAATAAAGGTGAAGATTGTTTTATGAAGTATTAAATAATTTTTAAGTTTGGTATAAGGAACTTGTACTCATTTATAGTTTTGCTTTTTTTTTTTATCTTTTCTTTTTTTTATATTTTTTTTTTACTTTTTTTTTTGTTTATATTTGATTATTTGTTTAGGTTTTGTAGCTTTTCTACTTTTTTTTATTTTTTTTTTAATTATTTTTTTATACTTGTCGTTTTTTAGACAAGGATTATGGAATTCTCTTGCTTAGATATTAAGAAAAGGAGAGTTTTAAGGAAATTAACAGCCATGATATGCTGTAGATGCTATTCATTGATATACTTATTTAATTCAAATGCAGGAGTGATAAGTAAGGAGATAAAATCTACTATAGCAGGTCGAATATAGGTACACATTTGATGCAACTGGGTCAGTTAAAACTTGTAATTTAGATGATTGAAACAATTGTTTTGGTAAAAATAGTAAACTAGAGTAGTTTGTTTATTTTATGTCTAATAAAGTTTTGGCATGGCTGCTAAATTGTTAAAAAAAAAAAAAAAATTATTTTTATTTATTTATTTATTATTTATTTATTTTTTTATCTTAATTTAAAAAACAACAATTGCTAGAACTTGTTGATGAAAAATTGGAGAATGAGCAAGTAAATAATGAAAGGATAGATAATAAAAGAGTTTGTGATAAAAAAGTTGATAATGAAAGGGTAGATGATAATAAAAGTGTAGATGATGATAAAAGTGTAAATGACAATAAAAGAGCAGATAATGCTGAAATGGTTGATGATAATAAAAGAGTGAAGAATGATAATAGAAGAGTAAATTGATGATAATAAAAGAGTGAAGAATGATAATAAAAGAGTAAATAATAAAAGAGTTGCTAATAAAAGAGTAGATGATGATGATGGTGTGAATCAGTGTTTAAAATTCAGATCAAAAACTAAATGCACAATGTGCATATACTGTGCAAATTCTGATGCACATGTGAAAAATTTGATACACATATATATATGTAAAAAAAAAATTTTTGATACAGATATTTTTATAAATTAACATGATTGAATAATCAGTGTAATATCAAATATATAAAAGTATAAACTTCACATAAGAAATTTGATAAAGTAATTATGAAACTATTTAATATGTGAGCATTTTATTTCATTAGTTTGCTTATTTAAAATCAGCCTCTCGTTTTCACAACTTTAAATCATTAAATTCAGGAAAATAACTTGTAAGTTGCTAGTAAATATTATAATAAAAGTTTGTTTACAAATATTTAATTTATTTTATTCATATTATAAAAATTGTTTATTAGTTTATGTGTTTAAATCAATAATTCCAAATACATAAATACTTATTCAAGATTTTTTTATTAAGTTATGCATTTTATCAATTTATTTAATTTGCATTTTTTTGGTAAGATAAATACTATATTTATTTTAGCTATTAGTAACAAATGCTATTTTTTTTTTGTGTTGATAAATAATCAAGAAAAGATATAACAGATTAATAATGGTTAGTGATAGCAAAATTTAGTAGAAACTAAAAGATCAATTAATTAATTGGCTATTAAATATAAAGATCATTCATTACAGCACTTCTCAAATTACTTTGACTAGCAAAATTCAAGTATTACACATATTTTCAGAATTTTAATTCTATTGTGATAAATAGAATTTACTAGTCATAGTAATTTAAAAAATGCAGTAATATATATTTGCATTTAAAAATTGACAATTCAAGTTTATATATGCTTATTGT